TTCCTCACTTGCCGAGATCATCTTAAATTCTCATCATTTCTCCTCTCCTCCACCATCAAATGCTTGCTTCCGCTCCCTTCCAATTCAGCATCGCCTGGAGACTATACAGGTCCATGTTTGGTTCTACTCACCAAGTTGCTCATGGAAAATATGGATAACCTCCGAGTGTGACAGAAGCCCATCATAATGTGGCATATTCAAAATGAGTTCTGACAGTGAGAAGACAAATGCTGTGTCAAGGATTAAGGTGCTGGACCAGATACACTTTCTATTATCTTTTATCTGGCCCATCAATTTTCCTTGACTCTTTGGTCATTCCTGTAGTGCAGGGATGATGACACACGATGCAGAAATTACCGAGGCAATGTTAATTTCATCTAATAAACTCATCTTGGCACCAAATGCAGAGTTATGACTTCTATGCAATTTTGCAGAGAAGCCATTTGTGGTTATGCTTGCCTTTTGGGCTGCCCACCAAGACATGGCCCCCACGTGAGCCATCTCTGGTGAGAAACATCATTCCCAGGGAGCGGCAGTGCTGCTCCTGCCTAGGGCTGTCTCCTGGGATCCCCCTCTTTGGGAGCAGAAGGGGTCTGTGTGAGGGGAGCAATGCAGTTCAGTTTCTGCATCTGTTTTGATAGCTTTTGCAGATTGTGTCAAGCATCTTGATATCTCATCTCGCCTATCACACACAGTGTTTGGCACTTCTCAGTCTAGACCATATTTCTGTAGTTTATCACAGAGGGACTGATGTCACATATCTTAACTTCAGAAGGCTTATGATGCTTGGAACTTGGGCTTTATCTGCTATGACAGTTAACTCGTTAATTGCCAAGATTATTCTCGACAAACTCATGTTCACAAAAGCCAAGAAAGAACTGAGTTCTCCAGCTTTCCCTCCTATGCCTTTCCTCTGCGCCTTATTTGTGTTAATGACAAATCACTTGGTTTTCAAAGCAAGAATAATGCTTGCTTTAGCTTTGATATGACCAGTCAGGAACAGATTCTCTAAGTACCACTGGCCAGTGTGTCCCTAATTACATCTTTATCTTGTCTCAACGTCACTGGTCCTTCAAACGGGCCTGTAAACACCCATGGGCTGCTAAGTAGTGTAGAGTGATTGCCATAAAGCCCGCCAGCGCCTGATGTCTCCTGGGGCTGAGGCTGTGGGTATGCATGTGTGGCTGTGGGGGTTATTTCCTGACCGAAACTATTTTGGTCCAGTTACACTTGTGTAGATTTTGCAGTAGGATCCAGAACCGAGCCTCGTGTCTACTGGCCCGCATGAACAAGTACCAATAAACCACCCCGTATTTAACCTTAAAGGGATTTTTTAAAGTAAAGAGTACTCGATCTCAGATTGTAACACTGTATTACAAGCTTTGAATATATGTGTACTTTAAAAAGTAATGCTGTTGTGCTAATTTAAAAATGTCTGTAGAACACGGTGCTTCTGACTGATGATCACATGCAACCTCACGTTTCTGCTCGGATGCCAACATGATGTCTTAATCACTTATAAATACCACTGTGCGGTAGCAATAGTAGTTATATAAATGCAGTATGTACATAGCTATTTTGCTGCGCCAATGTGTTTCAGGGAAGCCGAGGTGATTAATTAGATAATGTATATACTCACGGCACTGTAGCGACAGCACTGCTGTCTGATCTCCTTGCGCAGTGACTCATAACGATGCCGAACTGTAGTAATTGCCAAGAAATGCATGGACGGCGGTCTCACTGTTTGTGCTAGTGGCGTGGTTCTGGCTTCAACTATTCACCAAGCCTGTGGAGGTACGGTTCGTGCTCCCCCATGTTGCCATCCAGGCCAATTTTACCTGAAGACCTTAGTTTTGCCTATGGCGGGAAGGACGGGCATGCTGCAGTAGTTAGCCTGCAGCGCACTGCATGTACCGAAAAGCGCTGAATGGGGAGCGATGGCGGGACTGTTCCCCACCTCCTCGGGTAAAATACAGTCCTGTGCATCTTCATCTATCCTTCGTAATGGCACGCTGTTTTTAGCAAGCCACGCATGTTAAAACCCATCAGGAGTCAGCTCACAGGTCTCAAGGATTCCCAGGATTTAGCAGGTCTTTAATATCTGCAGTTGCTAACTACATATTCTGTTTCTAGCATCCTTACGAAAAGGAGAAAGCTACGTTTAGGGTGTGCATTAGCCTTTCCTGCCCTTAACTTCCATTTGTATACGGAAGCATGACGACTGCTGGACAGAGTTAGCAATTTTGGGAAGGGGTTCAGACAATGCACCTGAAGACTAACACTTTTCACTGGTCCAGGTAGTGAAGATGGAGAAACTGGTTTCTTTGCAGTGTCAGTACAGGCTCCCGAGCCAAAGAAAGCCAAATCTAGTTTCAGTTGCTCATTAGTGTGATTTGTGAGAAAAATTCAAGAGGCAATACTGTGAATCCATCTTATTGTCTACCCGGGATCGAACATTTGGCAGTGGTGATCCACAGCTCTCCAATGAAAATGTAGACAACCCAGTAAACAGTAGTGGTCAACCTATATACAACAGGCTGTCCTCTCCAATGCAAGAATAATGTTTCCTTAGCATGTGCTACTGTGTCGTAACAAGTTAAAGCTTCAGATTTTTTTGCCAATCACTTCATAAATATGTGAAAAATGAAACGCATATTATATGAGCGTTAATAATATGTCCTAGTTTTGATACTGGTGTCTGGAAAACCTCATAACCAATCGATGGAAAACACCAAGACAGTTAACCTTATTGAGTACCTCTGGGAAGTATGAGGTACACCCTAGATTCTTGAATTTCTGATATGCTGCGGTACAAAAATTGAGTTACTTTATAGTTAAAGAGATTGAGTACTGGTAAAGACATTGGGATAAGCTCCAGAGCTATCGGTATTCAAGCAATTATTGCCTCTCTACTTTGAGTTAGAGGCAACAAACTATTTGAATGTTAATTTTTTTCCCCTAGGCCTTTCATAGCCTTTATGGTAGGAAAGGAACCACTGGAGACTTGGAGATTCAGACAACTGCAGAAATAGCCTGCAAATCATGGAGCCATCCCTACTTCTCTGCATATATCGGCTTGGAGTAAATAACTTGGTACAAGCAGCAAAGTGGACACTTCACACAGGCTTTTAGAAGAAAAAACCCTGCCCTGAGACATCTGCAACTGCAGATGCTTCTTGCTAGGGTGACTGAAAGTATAAAGGAGGTGTTCTCCTGTTCACGGGCTTTGACTACAGTATGAAGTGGATGGTGTCTAATAGTCCTCAGACATATTTGCGGCTTCTTACTGGATTTCTGTAGCTTTATAACTGGTGTTCTGTTGTTAACTGATGTATTTTCAACCCTGAGTTACTAAATCTGTTCTAAGAAAGACAGTTGTTTCCAAAACAGAAAGGGATGATTTTGTCTATTTTTAAATGTTGCCCAACCCAAGAAACTTCGGAGAAGAGAACTTCCTTTCAGTGAGGCCACAAAAAGATTTTGAAATGCTGATCTCTGGCATAATTGTTAATATTGGAGTTCATATACAGATGTGATCTTAAAAAAGCTCCAGAAGGTAAACCGTCCTAATCATTAGGTTATGATTTTTGGTGTTTCCTCAAGCTGTTGTAGATGAGAAGCAAGAAAAAAGAGGAGTGATTTGAGAAACTCAAGCCTGCTGTTCCACCAGTGATGGACATGATTGGCAAGACAGGAAGTTTGATCTGAAAAGATGACTAGCACTCTGCTATGAGTCAATTACAAGCTCTTTTGGAAAGAGGAAAACCTATTGTAAACAATAATCTGTTTTCCAAACTAATTAATATTTTCAAGTCTATTATTGGACAGCAGATACCAGGCAAAATTACTAAATCTGGTCTAAGGCAGTTGTTTCCAAACCAGAAAGATACTAGAAAATGATGATTAAGTCTGAGACTCTGACTCTTAAATGAAAGGCTTCAGCTGCATTTAACACTTCTTTTACCTATACATGACTTGCATTTTTGTGCAACAGCAGCACGCCTTTTGCCGTGTAGTGGAGTGTGTTCGACCCAGCCAGTCCGTCTGAGTAGATTTCCATCAATACTGCATCCTCCACAAGCAGTAGGGGAAGTCACTGGAATGTGCTGTCACACACTTGGCTATGAAGTAATTCTGCATAGGAACAGGTTATTTCCTAATTGGTCACCGCTTGGTTCTTGGGTCACTTCTATTGCATGTCATGCCACCGAGAGCGCATGTCGTTTGGACACAGGATGAACCACGTGGGTTCGTAGTGGAGCACAAAAGGACTTCTACCTTCTGAGGGAGACAACTACTGATAGAAATTATTTTTATCTGGCTTGCTTTGAAATATCTGTCATTCCTCAAATAGGCCACTTCGATTGAAGTAAAAGCTTCATCTTGTAAGGTCCTATTCAAGGCCAACAAGATTCCTGACTAGTGATGCTGTGGAAATCCATTCCCTTCACTAGACTTCTGGTAATCCACAAGCCGGTATTAACTAGCAGCTGCCTTTCATGATTGCTGTAAAAAGAAAACATGGACACTGGCTTCCTTCCCATCTGCTGCTGCTGAAATATGGATGCTGTGCTGGAAGTGCTCCTTTATTTCACCATTTGTCCCCAGACTCAGTGATGCGGATATACAAATGTTAAAGCTGAAACAAATGGAGGTGTGCAACTCGTTTAGTCTTTTCCAACCTAAACAATTCTATGATTCTATGTCCCCGCTCATTGCAGGGGGTTGGACTAGATGACCTTTAAAGGTCCCTTCCAACCCCAACCATTCTGTGATTCTGTGATTCTGTGATTCTGTGAAATAACTTTTCATCCTTAAGTTATTTCTACATAGATAACAGGCTGCAGAACATTAGCACAGCGATGGGAATATGCTATGCAGGACTCCTACTTGTACGCATATGGGGCTACCAGAAAGGGGTTTTATGTGTGTGCACAGTTTTTGATTTTCAGAGCAGTTTTTGATTTTCCTTTCCTGTCTGAAATCCTGTGCTAGTGGTATGGGGCTGCAGTCTTACTGCAACAGGACAGCTTGCGTCTTTCTTGTGCATCACTGGAAAGCTAGTCATCGTGGTGATTAATACCGAGAAGTGGCATGCTAGCATGAAGAGATGAGTCCTGAACACGTCCTCAGCTGACTGTATGTGGTAGGTATCTGGCTTCAAAGTTGTAACCTCTGCAGTCATTACCTGGCCTGTGTGTCCTCTGTGCATGAGTGTGTGTTTGGGCGTACACACCGTGATGGGCTGCAGAAGGAACCTGATTTTTACAAGGACAGATCTATCTAGCCCAAAAATACAAACATGGAAGTACATGTTCCAGTTTGAATATATTTTAAAAGATGTATTTTAAAAGAAAATAAAACTGACAGCTAATCTATTAAAACACACGCTCTTAGAATTAAGGTATTTATATGCCTGGGGATGTTGCTCCAGAGTACAGAGTAGTTGATGTCTTGATATTCTAATGAATATATTGAATATATTTAGTGCTCGCGTTCAAATTAGCAAACTTTTGACCTAAGGCTGAGTACTAGAACAATTTAGACTGGACCTTCGGAGGTGGTCTAATTCAGCCCCCCTCAAAACACACACAGGTAGTTCAGGTTGCTGAGGGCCACGTCCAGTTGAGTTTTGACTATCTTCAAGGATGCAGACTCCAAAACTTCTCTGGGCACCGTTTCCTTCTTTTCCCCCTCTACTATCTGGTTGGCTTTTGCCTTGTTTCCACTTGGGTCTGTCGCCTCTTGTGCTGTCCATGAAGGTTCTACCCCTGCATTATGCAATTGGTGACAGCAACAAGATCTCCCTGGAGCTTCCCGTTTTCCAGGCTGAACATTCCCAGCTCTCTCAGTCTCTTCTCGCACATCAGGCGCTTCAGCACCTCTGACCATCTTGGTGGCCTCCACTGGACTCACCCCAGCATGTCCATGTCCCCTGTGCTGGGGAGCCCCAGCACCAGCACAGCACTGCAGATATGGACTCTCAAGCGTCAGATGGGAGCGCTCACTTCCCTCATCCACTTTTGATAGCGCAGCCCAGGATGCTGCTGTTGGCCTCCTTGGCCACAAGGGTGCATTACTGACTCATGTTCAACTTGATGTCCACCAGGACACCAAGGTCCTTTTCTGCAGAGCTGCTTTCTAGCCAGGGAGCCCAACTTCTACTGCTTCACTGGGCCCCATATGAAGGGAGAGATTGTTGCTAATTTTAAAGAATGAGTGCTGAGGCTATCCCTAAAAACTAGTAATGTACTATGTGTTAATATATTGCTGGTTTAATTACAAACAGTGCTATCAACATGTAAGTAGGTGCAAACTTTCCTGAGTAACAACAGCATCTGATAAAGGAGGTCAACTTTTCTAAATACTGATCCGTTAAGTTGAAACTTTTCAAATGGTGTCCCCCACTACTCTCCCATGCTTGTTTGTTCATTTGTTTCAGCTCTTTAGAGTCAGTTCTGTCCCTGACACTATCAAAGGAATGCTTGGAAGTTATTGTCCTCTCTTGGGAAGATCTGTTTCCCCTTTGTTTGAAATGGGAATTTGAAATGGGGAAGGACCTCTGTGGTGGCGTTACATTCAAGCCTGCTGTTTCCCTTATGTAAAATTTTTCCTAAAATTTTCTAAAATTCCTAAAATTTTGCCAATTTGTGAGTTTTTCAAAGCAGGAGTTTGCAAATGCCCCAAATAAATTTCCTGCGTTCCTTGAGCAAAAGGTGCTCAAGAAAGCTGAAATCTAAACATTTTCTTGAACCTCACAGATCTCTTTGGCCAAATGTTGCAAATGTTAACCTACAGAGTAATTGAGCATGCTCTGGCATAAAGCTGAACAGGTGCCCTCTGCAATTTGTGGTGTTTGTGGCCTAATGTGAGGCTGAAATACAGGCAGAAAGTTATTCTCTTCCTGCCCTCCATCCTGTCCAAGCACTGTATGTAGATAAGGAAGAGCATCTTGAAAATGTGAAGACGAAATGGGAAGCAGGCTAGTTTAGACACAGAGATGAGACTTGGGGAGAATGAAAGAAGATGTCCAAAAGTCCCTGATTTTGCAGGACTCTCAAGTCAGGCTTGAAGAGATGGCATCCGCTTGTTAGGACAAAAGAGTGATCGCTTTACCCTGTGCAGCCATTACCCTGATGGGTACAGGCCCTCAGTACAGAGTTGAAAGATCCTAATGTTGACCACCTTGACTGTCAGTTTTGGTGTGTAGTTTCAAATAATGTAGGCTTTTAGAGCTAGGCACTCAGAAGCGGGGAAACCCCAGGCTGAAGATTGTCAGCACAACTGTAATCTGATCCTTCTCTTCACATTTAGAATTGGATTCTGCTGGATCTGCTGGACCACGGAGATTGTGGGTGATGCTGTACATATCACTGGAGACGACCTTCTCACAAGCGGCCTCAAGCCATGTGTGCATTCACTGATGTCCAGCTTGTTACTTCGTGATCTTACTCAGCAAAGTGCCCGAGGCTTGCAGCAGTGACCAAAGTCACAGGGCGCTGACTTCTGGACATACCAGGTACAAAGAACTGTGCTTCAGGTGTCTCGAGCGGGCATCATCATCCATCAAGAGTGATAGTGTTGTCCTTAATCACTCTGGGCTGAAACCTGTGTCTGTGGATGGGGCTGTTAGATCTGCCCTCCCCCAAAAGACTGTTAGGAGTTTATGGAGCTTTCCAGGGACTTCACAGGAGAAATCCCTGAGTAAATGAACAGTAGTAACACAGAAAATGAGGTACCTGTCCATGAACTGAATGATGAATATTAAATTTTACGTCGTATGACTTTTATTCAGCACATACAGACTGTAGGCAGAGACTTGGTGGAAGTGACAGGACATAGGCCAGTGTTTAATTGCATGATCTTCCTGTGTGGGGGCAACATCGTGGTGCAATCAGAGGCCACGCTTGACAGCTCCTTACTCTTCTTTTAATGTTTGATTTTTTTGATCTTTCATGTTGTATCAAAAAACAAAGTGGTATCTTTACAGAGATGCTGCAGAATTAATATACACATGAACTTACTACAGCCTTAGTATTTTCATGTTGTGAATTGCCGTGTATTTGCTCCTCCATTTCTTCCTATTTTCATTTTGTCTAACAAACACTTTATAATAATTGTGGGTGAGAAAGACAAATTGCAAGTTACACTTTTGAGGGGAAGGGGAAGGAAGGGTAGACCTATTCATACAAAATTATGAGTTTATTATGCAGGAGCTCTTACTCAGTGTGGTTTTCTGTTTGTGTTTTCTTTGTCAAGCACAAAAATAAAAATGTAATTGTTGCTGAGCCGGCTGTCAGTTTGCTCACTGGGGAAGGCTGATGAAATTTAGTTTTTCTCAGGTTCAAGGAATGGTAAGCACAAAGGCAACGTAGTCTTGCACACACATGATTTAGTTTACACAGATGGCACCTTGCTGGTGTGGATTGTCATTTTAAAGTAATAAAAAATGTTTGCTGTTTCCAAATGTAGATGCTAAACACTAAAAGAATAAACTGCTGAACACAATACACGGCAGTTCAAGGATCAGACCAGAAGCGGAGGATCATCAATTCTAGGGAAGCCAGTAAGAGTCAGGAATGCAGTCAGACGAGCAATCTGACTGATTTTCAGAGCCACGTCTACATTTCAGGTGAAAAGTGTCTCAGAAATAGTGACTAGAAGAGATCTAAATAATCCTGAAATTGCTAGATGCATTTGTTTGTTCCCTTTCCACCATGCCATCTAGAAAGTGGTCCACCATTTCCAGATAGGAAAGGTAGATGTTCTCTCTGTTTCAGTGCCTCTAGGCAAACTTGGCCATACAGTTTTGAAGGCAAGTAAACCTGACTTTTAAGGTGCCCTACACAGTTGTTTTTTTTCCTTTTAGATGGGGATTTTTCATCTTGATGTTGTGGCATGAGGTGAAAATCTTGATTTTATTATTGCTGAGGGAGGAGGTGGAAAACCTTTCCTTTTGTAAAGCTTTCAACTATGATTGAGTTGAATATATGTGGCTTATGTTTTAAATTCAAACTATTATCTTACATGTGTGGATTCCTGAATGAAAGCTCTTCTCTCAGGGTATTAATGGACCTTTTTGGTTTACATTGCTTGTAAAAGGATTGGTTTAAGTTGAAATTCACTTTTTTGCATCAATGTAAATGTGATCCTAATCAGGACACTTCTCAAGACCAGTATGTACCTCCAAGGAAGCCAAGAGGCTGTGTCTGTGATGGAATCTTTCCCATCTCCGCCCTAACATCTTTAACACATCTAACAATCCCATGAAATGGATTATAAAATTGCAGTTTTAATTCACATTAGATCTAGGCCTATTATACATGCAACTTTTCTTAACCTGGGAATAACTCATGGTCCAATGGGATGCATCATTCACAGTGGATAGCATGTTTGTAAATGCTGTGAAGGTACTCTAATTCCTGGAGAAAACAAAAATTAATCCTCCAAACACAAAGTCCTGCTTGGTGCTGCTTCATAACTTGGTTCTGTTTCTTATTAATTTAAATGAGGTCATGGGATGTATAGCTTTTGTGATGGGAAAATTTCAGCTTCCTGCTTGCTGTAACACTTGGCACAGGGTTCTTGCTGAAGCTTTCAGATTTCACTTTCTGCAAAGTCTTTAGGTCTAGAGTTTCAAGTAAACAAGGTACTTAAAGGAGACTTATGTTTTGTTACCACATAACTGATCTGTACAGATTACTCATTTTGTGGCTTTTTAATGAAATTTGTAGTTAAGTACGTTGGAGGCAAACACATAGAAAACAGATCCTGATCTGTAACAACAGTATTACTTTATTCCTTCTACTAGTAGGATGGTTCCATCATCGGATGGATGGTTTTACTTAACAAAATGCTGCTATCGCTGTGTTTGGTGCCTGGTACGCTATGGTCAGAAGTGATAGCATCCAGAGACTCTAAACTTGCCTTTCCTTTTTTTTGTTGTTGTTGTTGGTTTTTTTTTTTTAAATTCTATCTTGGTACTTTCCACACCATTTCTCAAAACTTTTATTTCCCAACTGTATTGGTAAATGCCATTTATGTTTCTGAGAGGCTTCCTACTCTTCTCCTAGGAAAAGCAAGCTTAGAATGACAGAGGACCTGTGACATTTGGGGCAGTTGATATAATGAAGAGTCAAGATCCAGAGATTTCTCTCTAGTGAGCAGCGGTGGAAAGCATTCAGTTATTAACACTTCTACACATACTGATAGCTGAAGGCTTCCTGTCATTTTCTCAAGGCTTTTTTTTTTTAATCCACGTGAAAGGCTGGCATTTTTGGGGGGCTGGGGATTCTCTTATTATTCTTTCGGATTTGTCTTCAAGATTTGTTGTCTTCTCTCTTGTGCTTTTTTAGTTTCTAAGCTTTGTAGTTTCTAGAAGAGTATTCTAGCACCAGAGTTTTTGATCTGAGATCCATCACTATGTAAAATACTGTGAACAAATTTAAAATCTGGTGTTTTGGGTTATCTACGATGCAGTAATAACTATGATGTAGTTACTAGTTATGAACTTTCAACCCTTTTAAACCAATATTTTATTTATTTTAAACTTCTTTCCTCCTGTTCCTCTGTTTTACAGGCAGGATGAAAGACCGGTTAACTGAGCTGCGTGAATTTGCCAGGTTACACAACCAACAGTTTTCTGATAATGAGGATGATGAAAATGCGCCCCATGATGTTCTCCTCTATGAGACTGATTACGCCTTGGAAATTCTTCATAAAGACATACAGAACATCCGGACAGAAAATGACCACCTCAAAGAGGATGTCAAGCGGCTCAGAAAGCAAAACAGCCGCTTCCTTACTTCCATGCGCCGTCTTAGTAGCATCAAGCGAGATACTAATTGTATTGCCAGAGACATCAAGGCCCGCGGAGAAAGCATCCACAGGAAACTCCAGATAATGAGAGATTTCAGCGAAGATGCAATAACAAAATACGGGGCTATGTCTGTCATCGCCAGGGTAGCGAAGAACCACTACGTTGACCTCATGCATGCATTTCAGGAAGCTATGTTTGAATACAATGAAACAGAGATGAACCAACGGGAAAACTGCAAGATTCGAATTCAGCGGCAGCTAGAGATCATGGGCAAAGATGTTTCTGGCAACCAGATTGAGGAGATGATTGAGCAAGGCAAGTGGGATGTCTTCTCTGAGAACCTCTTGTCGGATGTTAAGGGAGCTCGCTCAGCCTTGAATGAGATAGAGACACGTCATAAGGAGCTGGTGAAGTTAGAAGGACGCATTAAGGAAGTTCACGAGCTCTTTCTGCAGGTGGCCCTGCTAGTGGAGGAACAGGCGGACACCTTTGATGTCATTGAGATAAATATGCAAAATGTTGAGGACTATGTAGGAGAAGCTAAAGAGCAAGTGAAAAAAGCTTTGGAATACAGAAGAAAACACCCCCTCAGAACAATCCTTTGCTGCTGTTTATCCTGTTGCACAAGGTGACTGTCCCACTGAAGCTACCACAGACTGACCCGAATGTCTTCAAAATCAGGCATTCTTTCCAGTGACTATTTTGTAACGACAACAAATTGGGGGGGGCTATTTTGCAGTTGGTTTTGTTCATTGCCTTTTTCTGAAATGTGCTGAAGGCTGTTCTATTTGAGAGCTCCTAGAAGTGTCGATAAAACTATTTTTAATCTATTTTTAATTGAAATTAACATTTCAATTAAAATTGCTGTAACTAGAGGTGCAAGAAGATCTCTGCAGTGCTACTTGTTTCTGATAGGCAAGAAAGAGGAATGAATGATGGGCTGATAACTCAGCCTAGGGAAGATGAGAAATTTTGAGAATAACTTTATTCTTATTTATCAAAGTGAGTCTGCAGGTGGTGCAGCCTTACCGCCTGGGGTGACACAAGACACCACAGAATCAGGAGGTTTCCATTTTCACTGGTTTGGAGCCTGCTTGATGTAAATACTTGAACAGATTTTTGCTCTGTTCATTTGACAAAACACTGGGCCTGTTAGCAGGAGCAGGACACAGGACTAGTTTCTATTTCAACTTTATTTCCACCTGTCATGAATCTTAACAGAAGTAACAGGACTTTAAATGATAATATGCATGTTTTGCTCCGTTTGTGTGCAAGTGATTGATTGCTTTTCTCCATTTTGAGTGCCCTCAACTGCATCAGGGTGGCTGGAAGCACTGCAACACTGAGGCATCTCACTTTTAACTTAGGCCACCGTCTGTACTCTCAATTTCAAAAGTGCCATGCTTTTAGGCTTCTAATACATTTTTCTGCAATTAACACTTCAGCCAGAAGAGATGCATGCAGTGTCCTTCTGCAGAACCACCCATAAGAAGACAACAGCTGGGGGGGATGGTCGAGAAAGTATTTTAGGGTCTCCTGTGCTGGCACATACATACAAGCAGTTTTAGTGGAAGTATTATCCTGTCGATAGACTTTTGTTTTTTTATAAGCATTGATTGAATATGGATTTTTTCATATCTATTTTAAATAACATGAAGGATTAAATTTATTAACATGCCATTTTACCAGTGTACAAAAAGCACGACTCTTCTCCCATTATTAGGAAATCTCCACCTGGGAAAGAAGATAGGCATATTTCTTCAGTACACCTGAAGAAGAAAGAGAACAACATTTTAATGTCATTTCAGTGCTCTTTTCAAGCTTAAAAGTAATCTCTCCTTTTGTGTAAGGGAAGTCTGTCCGCAGTTCATTTGGAACATGAGGAGGGAACAGAAAATTTGCAGCCCTGGAAACCACTGAGTGTTGCCAGTGAAACTGGTATTCCTAAAGTTTGGTGAGTGATTACAGCTCCTGCTTCTGGAGGTTTTCCAACTATTAATATTTCTAGGTGGCTTCCTGATACACTGTGATCTATTGCTATCATTTGAATTAATGCAGGACATTTTTTCAGAAGTTAGTGACTTTTTTTTTTTTAAATGCTATTGTACCTATTTTAATAAATATATGTAAACATTTCAAATATTTTGTATTTGGGAGTTTTCCTCAGGAGATGCACGTAGCCATCTTCCTGCACCAATCGCAATGAAACTTTTCCCTTCTGATCTTTTGCACACTAATTTTATATGTGAAAAAACACCCAACCATTTCTTACTATTTCTACTGATATAAGAAAACTGCAAAATAAATTCAACTTAATTTCATAGCCTGGTGGGAAATGCTTCTTAGCCAGACAGGCCTTTTTACACAAATAGAAGTGAAATGGATAACTCTTCTTGGAAACTGAAAGTCTCTTTCGCTGAAGCACCTGTCTGTGATAACACGGAAGAGTGAGGAATGCTGATCTTCTAAACTAGAAGGTATTTTGATATTCGGTGATGTCCTGATGATATCAGTATTATGCTTGCCTGAGGACCTCTCCAACAACCCAGTGTTCAAACGTCAAGTGGGAGAAAGGAGGGTGCGGAGCTGGCACCGTGACTGCTGCTTTGGTGCTGCTCAGGAGGACACAGGTGTTTACTCCATAGGCACTGCCGTTCCAGTCAACGGGACTGTGCATTTGTAGAGAAACACCTTAAACCTCTGAGGGTCAGCATGTGGGCATAAAGCAGTGAAGAATAAAATATGTATTTCGTTTCCTCTACATGTTGTTAGCACTCACCAATGCTTTTGATAAAAATGTATACATGGGGGTTTTTTTGTTGGTTTCTTTTTTTGCACATATGTATGTCTACAAATGGAATAAAGGGTTTAATAAGAAAAACTGGAAGTGTGTGACTGTGCAGAGTGTTGTACAGTGAATCAGCAGCTGTGAATAGTTTCTTGCATTGTCAAAGCTTAGTTTAACAGCTGCTGGACTAAAGTCGGAGTTGGTGAAAGAAGATTGAACAACACCTGAAAAAAGTCCTCCTAATATTTGTTGCCACAGTAAATCAAATGTGTTGCATATTGAGATAGACTTAACATAATTTTTCCTATAAAAACCATGAAAAATTAGTTTCATACATTCTAAGATGATCCTCTACTGCAAGAAAAAATCAGATTTATTCTGGCAGTTCTGAGACATCTTGATGATTTCATTAGTAGATATGCAAAGCTTATATTCAAATCTTTAGTCTGGTTTGAGGCACAGGGAAAGGGAGCAAAATCATGAAGAAACTATTTTTAAGTCACATTGTGAATTAGAGGGACTCTAAAAATTACTTCCAGTAACTGAAGAAATCATTCTCTTCCTCGCAAACGTGTTCATTGCTTAATACTATGGGTTTTTTTTTTCTCTCCTTCAGTTGCATAAGCCACTCAAATTTTGCCAGTCCATGAACTTGCCTAGTCACAGTTAAACAGACTTTTGAAAAAACCTGATCACGCTGCTGTAGTTGCAAAGACTCATGCCACACAGGATGGGTGGAAGAAGATGATAAAAGTAGCTTGATAATATGTTAGCATACTAATAACAGAAGCTGCAGAATGGACATCTTCATGCTCGCTAAGGAAAGCTGCCTTTTCATCCTGAAAGTCAGCATGACTCCTGTGCATAACATGTTATATGGGCTGGGTTTTTTTTTCTCTCTTCCCTCATGTGGCAAACCCTATAGCTGGGTTTGAGGGAGAAGTAGTTAAAAAGTGAGAGGGGCTCCTTTAGCTTTTAGGGTTGCTGTTATTTTGGTTTCGTTTCCTACTGAAAGCAGCAGAAGCTTCACAACCACCCCCCCACGAATCTCAGCCCTTTCTGAGGAGGAGAAAAGAGAACTGACAACCAGGTGCACATTGCTCCTTCTAAAAATGTGAGAGCGCATTGCATAAACATAAAAGGGAAAAAAAAAATCCACTATTACAAAATACAATGTTTGGTATATAACATTGAACTTTCTGGGTATGTCTATGAGTCTCCATTTCACCTTACGGATTTTTTTTTTATTTTTTTTTTCTTGCAACATGGGTTTAATTTTAGAGAAATGGCAGTGGAACGATTCCTACCTCAAAGCGAGGGACCCAGACTATGGACACACTTGCACACTTGAGCAGGCATCTCTCTGGCGCATGTCTTGGGAGAAACTTCTCGAAGTAAAGGTATAGCTCTTTGTTTAAGATTCAGGTATCTTTTTTTTTCTGGAGGCTGATCTGAGTAGCTAAGCTAAACTGCTGCTTTTCTAATCTAACCTGTTTTAAATGCACAGCCCAAGTTCTATGTGATAATACCTTGAAAACAAAACAGGTTCTTCAGATGTTTGAACCATGGGAGATACTTGGAATTGATTTGAAAAAGGAAGGCGCTACACATGGTTGTGTTTCTATGTCTAGAAAAGTATCACAGACAAGATGAAGGCAGGAAACAGTACAATTTAAGAGATACTGTATGCGGTGATTACAGTTAATCTATTTCCGACGCAATGTGATTTTCACAGGGAGCCATGGTATTTGTTCCTCTAAGATGTGAGAAGGCAATAGCAGATCTATCTTCTTCTGTGTTTCTTAGCATATTATATAGTGTAATAGTTGAGCTGAAGCCAGTAACAGCCAGTGGAAGACAAGCTCCACCGTCACACCTTACCTTACAGCACACATCGTTAGGGCGCAAAGCCTTAACAGGGAAAAGTAACACTTTATTATGTTTCTCAGAAATTATGGTAGACCTGAATAGAGAATGAGATAACCTAACTGATGACATTTCTCTACTCAGTACTTTGCTGAAAAGCACAACCCCACTGAGCAGGGAGCGATGCTAGCTATGGTACGATGTCTGTTTCAAGCAGACAGTACAGTGCAGGAAGTTCCAGTAGCCTTAACAGGGAAAAGTAACACTTTATTATGTTTCTCAGAAATTATGGTAGACCTGAATAGAGAATGAGATAACCTAACTGATGACATTTCTCTACTCAGTACTTTGCTGAAAAGCACAACCCCACTGAGCAGGGAGCGATGCTAGCTATGGTACGATGTCTGTTTCAAGCAGACAGTACAGTGCGGGAAGTTCCAAAGAGCTGTTCTCTCAGTCAGGGGCTCCAGTGTGTGGCTAAAATTAAGGGAAGAGGTGGTGTGAGCTTCACATCTGTTCTTCATGTATGTAAAATGTGAACAATTCACTTTCATTGTACATTAGTACAAGTATTTTCCTTCACAAGCATATCCAGTGTACTGGGGGTCTCTGAGCGCTAACAGCTGAAGAGGTTAGGCACCACCTGCACCTGTAAATTCGAGGCCCAGACCCCCTCCAGAGGGCCACCTACAACCAGGCTGTCTAGCAACCAAGCAGGGCATGTGCTCCTCTTCTGCTGATGGGAGAGACATCTGGCCTCTGCGTGCCTTCTCCAGTTTGCAGGAGGCTGTCTCAGGCCGACATCCCCAGCCTGTGCCATACCGAATATTCATCTCTCATCCCTTGGGGGCAGCGTCAAAGGTGGTAAAGTTTGGTAGGATGGCGGATGTCCACTTTCTCCTCTGGAAAATGGACAGCAAAGGTGGTGAGAGTGGGAGCTGGTGGGGAGGAAGGCCGGTGATGGGGCACTTTTCCTTTCCCCTCCCGATGCGGGGAAGCAGGGGGAGGCCCCAGTGCAGGCACTAACGGCGGGATATTGCAGTAGGCGCTTCTGTAGACCTGGCACGCAGCGGTGATTGGCAAGAAATCTCTCCTCAGCAGTATTTTTCTCCTAATGGAGCATAATTGGTAACTTTGGACTTTGGTTTCTTTTTCCTTCTACTAGCAAGGGAAGACACATTCCAGGTAACACCTGGACAGGAGTAAAACGTCAGCACGCAGCACAGGTTTTCCCATTTGGCATTTGACCAGGCAGCATCGGCGGGGGGCTGGGGTGACGGGCAGAGAGCTGTTTTCCTTTCTGGTGG